TGAAATTGTGCTTGGTTCGCTGGTGCCTAGAGCCGACCCTGGCAGAGTTTAAACTTTCATTTAAAAATCCTACAAAGTTTTAATCTTTATGGTTATGAAGAAAACCCGTTGAATGTGACCTCATGCTGCACTGTCTCCTTGATTCATAGATTTGAAAGCCAGAAAGGACCATTGGGATCATCTAGTCTGACCTCCTATATAACAAAGGCCATGAAACTCCCCCAAAATAATTCCTATAGCAGATTTTTTAGAAAAAAAATTCAATCTTGATTTGAAAATTGTCGGTGACCCTTGTAAATTGTTTGATGGTTATTTACGCTCATTGTGAAAAATTTACACCTTATTTCCAATCTGAATTTGTCTAGCTTCGACTTCCAGTCATTGGGTTGTGTTATATCTTTCTCTGCTAGACTGAACAGCCAATTATAAATATTCCCTATGTAGGTCATTAAAGACTGTAATTAAGTCACCCCTTAACCTTCTCTTTGTTACACGAAATAGATTGAGCTCCTTGCATCTACAGTAGAACCTCAGAGTTACGAACTGACTAGTCAACCACATACCTCATTTGGAACCAGAAGTATGCAATCAGGCAGCAGCAGAGACCAAAAAAAAAAAAAAAGCAGATACAGTACTGCATTAAACATAAACTTCTAAAAAATAAAGGGAAAGCAGCATTTTTCGTCTACATAGCAAAATTTCAAAGAAGTGGGCTGTAGTCCACGAAAGCTTATGCTCTAATAAATTTGTTAGTCTCTAAGGTGCCACAAGTACTCCTGTTCTTCTTAAAGCTGTATGAAGTCAATGTTCAGTTGTAAACTTTTGAAAGAACAACCATAACATTTTGTTCAGAGGTATGAACGTTTCAGAGTTACAAACAACCTCCATTCCCAAAGTGTTCATAATGCTGAGGTTCTACTGTATCACTATAAGGCAGTTATTTTAATCCTTTCATCATTCTTGTGGCTCTTCTCTGAACCCTCGCCAATTTTTCAACATCCTTCTTGAATTGTGGAGACTGGAACTGGACACACTATTCCAGCAGCAGTTGCACCAGAGCTAAATAAAGAGGTAATCTCTGGTCGTACTTGAGATGCCCCTGTTTAATGCATCCAAGGATCACATTAGCCCTTTTGGCTACAGCATTGCACTGGGACCTCAGGTTCATCTGATTATCCACCACAATATCCATCCCATAGATCCTTCATCCTGTAAGTATGTCCTATGTTCTTTCTTCCTAGACGAATACATTTACATTTAGCCATATTAAAATACATATTGTGTGCTTGTGCCTAGTTTACCAAGCGATCCAAATCGCACTGTATTCGTGACCTGTTCTCTTAATTATTTGCCACTCCCCCAATTTGTGTCATCTGCAAAGTTTATCAATGATGATTTTATGTCTTCTTCCAGGTCTTTGATAAAAATGTTAAATAATGTGGGGCCAAGCACCAATCCCTGTGGGATTCCACTAGAAACAAAACCACTCGATGGTGATTCCTCAATTACAAATACATTTTGAGACTTATCGGTTAGCCAGCTTTTAATCCATTTAATGTATGCCATGTTAATTTTGTACCATTTGTTTTTAATCAAAATGTCATGCAGTATCAAGAGCTGTTCTTCAGGACTGGGAAACGTACTCAGAGCATCACAGCTACATAAATTTCAGTGGTCCCTTGAAATATGTGTTAACTCCTTATGCTTAATATTGTTCCACCTTATATTTAACTGTGACACTCTGAGTACATTTCCCAGACCTGAAGAAGGTCTCTGTGTAAGCTCAAAAGCTTGTCTCTCATCAACAGAAGTTGGTCCAGTAAAAGCTAGTACCTCACCCATCTTGTCACTCTAGTATCCTTGTACCAACACGGCTACACCACTGAATGCAGTATCAAGTCAAGCACCTTATGGAAGTCTAAGAATATTACATCAACACTATTATTTATTAACTGAACTCGTAATCTCATCAAAAAAAGATATCAAGTTACTTTGACAGGATCTGTTTTCCATAACCCCACGTTGATTGGGCATTAATTATGTTCCCCTCCTTTAATGCTTTTTCAATCAAGTCCCATATCAGCAGCTCCATAGTCAGATTGACAGGCCTATAATTACCCAGGTCATCCCATTTACCCTTTTCAAATATTGGCTCAACATTAGCTTTCGTCCAGTCCTTTGGAACTTCCCTGTTGTTCCAACATTAATGTTTAAAGTCAACATTAGAGGTCCTTTGCACTCTTCTGACAACTTGCATCCAAAAGGGCTATCTGGATCTGCTGATCTTATAATGTCTAACTTTAGTAGCTGCTGTTTAACATCCTCCTGAGATATCTAGTAGTGGAATGGAAAGAGTGTAATAATCATCATATGATGAGACTAGATCATCTGTTTTTTCCCAAGTACTGAACAGAAATATTTATTGGTAATTTCTACATTATTATTGATAATTCTACCATTTGCATTTAGCAGTGAACCAGTACCATGGTCAAGATTCTTTTGTGCTTTTAATATACTCAAAAAACTCGTTCTTACTGTGCTTAAATATGCGTACCATAGATTTCTCTGTGTGATCCCTTTTCTTAACGTCTGGTTTATATATATTACTATCAACTTCCCTTTCTTTAATTTATTATCTATTATTTTTTTCATTTTTTATAGCTGCTTTCACTTCCCCTCTAAACCAGGTCAGTTCTTTAACCAGTACGGTCTTCTTCCTTGATTGTGGCTTTTGGGGCATCTAATAAAGTGTTCTTAAACAATTCCAAATGATCGATCATATTTTTCTAATTACATTTTTCCTGCCAGCTGGTTTGGCAGATATTTTCAGCTTTGTGAATGTGGCCGTTTTAAAGCACAAAGTATACATATGACTGGTTTGGACTTTATTCTGTTTGCACATTATAAATGCGACCAATTCATGGTCACTTGTACCTAAGCAACCATTAGTTTTTAGTTAATGCAGAGTCCTCGTGTGTTGACTGCAACACTTTTTGAGTTAGGAAATTGTCATCTGTAATATTTAGAAATTCCAAGGATGTTTTAATACTGGCAGCCAGTGGAGGGATTAGCCACTGGGCTGATGGGGCCCGTGCCCAGGAGTCCCAGCCAACTGGTGACCCCTGGAAAAAATCTGCTGCCACCGGTGGAAGCCCGGAGACCCAGCTGCCAAGTGGGCAGGGCTGGGGAAGCCCCCGCGCCCTGACCCTGCTCCACGGCAGCAGCGCAGGGAAGGGGAAGTCCCCCCCCCCGCCCCTGTCCCCCCCTGCACCACCACCCATCCCCAGCAGAAGCTGCTGGGCAGCAGGGCAAACCCCCCCACCCAACCTGCTCTCCAGTAGAAGTGCTGGGTGGGCAGGGCGGGAAAAGCCCCAGCGCCCCGAACCTGGTCCCCCACAGAAGCATTGGGGGATGGCAGGGGAAGCCCCAGCACCTGGAGCCCCACTGCGGCCCTGGGACAGTGAACCGTGGCCAGGGGGAGTTGCGATCGGTCTAACCTGCGGAAGCGGCCGGTAAACAAACCAGCACGGCCCGCCAGGGGGCTTACCGTGGCGGGCCGCGTGCCAAAGGTTGCCAATCCCTGCACTACAGTAAACTGAAGAACATTAGCATAGTATTTCTCCTCTGCTCACTCAAAGGCATCTCTGAAGCTGGCAAAGGAGGGAATGACCTCAAACAGCAGGGGGCTGAGCAATTCACCAGGGCTTTGCCCCTGACCTCATTTACGGCTCTTCGCAGCCTCTCTCCCTAACCATATTTCAGTCTCTGGTGAATTGGTATGTGGTTCATTTTTTTTCAAAACGTCTGTTTAGGTATTATTGCCATTGCATCTGGGGAATCTTGCATTCAGTTTTTTAAAAAATCAGTAAATCCGTCACCCAGTGGTGATTCGTAAAGTTATATCTATTTCACGTCTTGCTGAGATGGGAAGGAAGGAAGGAAGGAAAGGTGACTCCCTCCTTTAGCCAGCTTTGCAAAGGATGAATTTGAGTGAGTAGATGAGAAATAACATTCTTATCATTATTCTAGGATTAAGACTTCCCTTTTAGCCACAATCTGCTGGAGTTCCATTTGTCTCTCCAGTCCTCAGAGTACCTTCTGACCTACAGCAAAAGTATCCTAATTTTCTATACTATAATCAAAGGGCCCTTCCTGTTTTGACCTTCTCTGTTCTGTCAGCCCCTGGGGTTTGAGAGGAACCAGTGCATTTATACAGCAGTGAAATGTATTTTATTTTATTCTCTTAGTCTATGGCCTGAGCTAGGAAGCTTGTCTTTTACTCCTACTTTTCTTCCGCTTCAGGTTTTCCATTCTTTTTATTTTTCTGGGTTTTGGATGGGATGTAAAACCAAGTCCTTGGTTTGTAGAGATTAAAGATCCCATGGGACTTTCCAGAAGAAATTCAAAATTCCAGCTCAGGTGCTTGCGTTCCATCCACCTACAGATGACATTGCAATTTCTTTGCTCACCCAGCAGTTTTTCTCCTTCCCTATAAAATCACTGTTAGGTGATAGAATAGAATCTTAGTAGCTTGATTGAAAACATGTGAAGGACGAAGATAATGGCTATTATCTTTATGTTTTTCTTGAATTTTCCAGGGTGTTACTGAGGGCTACAATGGCACCATTTTTGCCTATGGCCAGACTGGCAGTGGGAAGTCATTTACCATGCAGGGCATTGTGGACCCTCCTACGCAGAAAGGCATAATTCCCAGAGCATTCGAACACGTGTTTGAGAGCGTACAGGTATGTAGTGAAGTGAAATGGCTGCTGTAGCAGGGACTATAGCCCAGATCCTCAAAGGTATTTAGGTGTCTAATTCTCATTGATTTCAATAGGAAATTTAGGTGCCTAAATATCTTTGAGGGTCTGGGGCTATATGTTATAAGCTATTTATTAGTAGGTTTTTCTACCGTATTCACCACCATAGTATCTGAGCCCCACAAACATTAATGAATTTATTCACACAACCCTATGGCAAGGTAAGGAAGTATTATCCCCCATTTTACAGATGGGGAAACTGAGGCACAGAGAGGGGAAATGACTTCCCCAAGATCACACAGGAAGGCTGTCACTGAGCTGGGATAGAACTCTGATCTCTCGAGTTCCTCCTCAGTGCTTTAGCCACATTCTTCCCACCCCCAAATTATCAGTAGGATAGCAGGAGACCTCCTGTCAACTTGCCAAGATCTTCACATGATGAGTACATGAGCACTGAATGCAGTTCTGGTTGGCTGAGTATGTATGATGCAGTAGTGGGCATATGTATAGTCCAACAGAGTCCTTGAGATTTGGGACTCAGGTGCTGTTTACAGCTCTACCACATTTACTGTGTGACTTTTGGCAAATTAGTGTTTCTCTCTCTGCCTCAGTTTCCATATCAGTAAAACTAGGATAATGCCGAAATCTTAGGAAGTTGTGAGGCTTAAGTCATTAATGTTTATAAATTGCTATGAAGCCCTCTGCTGGATGGTGCTAGGAAAGGGCAAGATACTTTTACTCCAAGCTGAATATTCTCGATGCTGTGTATTTACTAGCGTAAACAAGCCCACCACACTAGGTCTGCACTTCTCAGTGTCTGTGTATTGTATGGCAGGAGTTTACAATCTGAAAGGTCCCATATAATGTGAACTAAATAGTTAATCTGCGGACTGAGTATTTTCAAAAAAAGCCAAGGGGGGTTAGGCACCCAACTGTCATTGACAGTCAATTGGAGTTTAGGTATCTAACTCCCTTAGGCACCTTTGAAAAACTTCCCCTAAAATCCCATCTCTTGTTTTTGTATCAGTGTGCTGAAAACACCAAGTTCTTGGTGAGAGTCTCTTACCTGGAGATCTACAATGAAGACATAAGAGATTTGCTAGGAGCCGACACCAAGCAAAAGTTGGAGGTGAGGCGATCATAAAGTCATTCTGGCTAAATGAGGATGTACTTTAATTTGCTCTGACTGCTATCAGGCATGCCTAATAGAAATGGGAGAACCCAGCAGAAACTTTTTGCAGAAACTGAAACGTGAAGCATTTGGGATGTGACAAAAACTGTTCTTATTATGTTTAGTGAGTTTTATCTACAGTCTGGTCCCATTCCCCCAAATCTCATACTTTCCTTTATTGTTTGAGACCCAGGTTTGACTACATCCCTGTACATGAAAGTCAAGTGTGCTTCAAATCAATGTTGAAAGTTATCATCAGTGTGTTTTTACCCTGACAAAGGTTAGACTCAGCTGCTCTCCACAATTGATTTCAAAGTTCCTCATTCTTGATGGTGGCTGTTAGAATATGCAACTCACAAGACCAAACTTACTTTTGTTATTTTATGTAGGTATTTGAATTTAACTGAACACGTACAAAAGAATGCCGGTGACTGGTTCCTGCCACCTTTGGCATCAATTTAAAATGCAATACAAAAATAATTACAAAACCACTATGGTAGGACTGACATTATCATTATTTGTCACTCCACCCATTTTTGTGTGCAAACTTTACCAACAGTGACATTTTCTTCCAGTTCATTGATAAAGATATTGAGTAGCGTTGGACCAAGAACAGATCCCTGTGTGGAGCCCCACTAGAAAGGCTCCAATTGCATGATGAGTCCCTGTTTAGAAGAACTTGTTGAGGTCTATCAATTAGCCAGTGTGCGTAAGGGCTGCAGGACTGAACCCAAGGTCCCAGCTTTGGGCTAGGAAGTGGGAATCTGCCTCAACTTTACAGGGAGGCATAAAAGGAGTTAGGATGCTGAAAGTGGACACATGGAAAGAAGAGGTCAGGAGAGAGGATACACAAGATCATAGGGAAGGGAAGGGGAAAGATGTAATGAAAACAGAGATGTAAAATGGGAGGGATTGTGCAAAACCCTGAAAGTGAGGCTGAATTGCTCAACGTGCAAAGGAGAGGGGAGCCAGAGAAAGGATTTGGAGGGGCCTGGAAGAACGTTAGGTTATGTCTAGTTAGGAACATAGGACACCTAGCTGGATGGACCATTGATCTTGTCCAATGTGGCAAGTCCTATCTTACAGTGGCCGGTTCCAGATGCTTCAGAGGAAGGTGCAAGAAGTCCCCAGTGGACCGTTATGGAATAGCCTGCACATACGGGAAGTTTCTTCCTGATGCCCATAAGTTAGTATCTGGTTTATGCATTGAAGAAGGAGGGTTTCTGTCCCTCATCCATTTTTAATCTGATCTAATGTGACTGTGGATGATCTCATTATCTCTAAAAATGGCTGATCCTTTATTGACAGGATACTGCAGAGGTACAACTCCCCGTTGGAATGCATGGGAAAGGCAGAAAGTTTCAAAGATGTAGTACAGTAAAATTAATACAATTAATAATTCTATTGATTGTTGGTTTACAGTCAAAGAATTTGCCTTACAATAGCTTTGCAAATCTCTGCCCTTCCCATGCATTCCTGTGGGGAGCTGTATGTCTTCTCTTCTAATTTACATGCCAGCAAGATTGTCAGTGTAAGGAAAACCAAGGGACTAGCACCATCTGCTGCGCAGAAATGTTGAAACTCTGACAGAACTTTAGCATGTGCCTGGCCCTATAGGGGTGAAATCCCTGGTGGGTCCCCATTTCCTCGCTCTGCAGAGAGAGTGTGTGTGTTTAGGGAGAAATAGGGTTCACTATTTTAGAAGGAGCCTCCTGCACATTCCTGCTTTTTGTTCCACATCAATAATGACATTGGTTTACGTGACGACTGCTGTTGGCACAGGCAGGGCAGTGCTTGGGCAGAACTGTTTCCACGGTAACACAGTCACCGCTGGTGACCGCTTCTGGCTGTAGCTGCTTCTATAGAGTAATTAAGTGAGTCAGTGTCCTGTGGAGACATAAAGCCTAGGCAGATCTTCTGCCCCCTGCAACCCTACATGTTTCTCCTCTGAAATCCCATTAGTATTATTAATTGTATTCGTTTCCTTTTAATGTCGGTGACTCCTGGCCACCCCTGCACCTCAGGGACTCAGTCACTTGCCATGAAATAAAGCCCGGCAGAGAACAGGCCTCGCTGAGCTCTGCTTGGAAGACCTCACACTCAGGTGAAGTGCAGTGTCAAGTGAGTGGAATGTCCTCATTCCATCCTAGTAGGCTAAGTACAGCTTCCTCCCCTGCAAGGCAGTGCCATTCCTTCAGCCGATCAGAGATGGACCTTGGAGAGGACTTCGCCAGGGACTCAGCTTCCACAGCACTCCTAACTTTAGCCATCCCAGTCACCTGATTGTCATATATCACAGTTAAAAGCTATAGTATAGATTGACCTAACCCTGATCCTGTAACTGGGTTAACCCAGGCAGTCCAGGGCTTTAGCTTGGTTAGGGAACAGGACTAAGGTCCGATCTACACTACA